GGTATAGAACAAGAGAGATTCCCATTATGCTAGGGGGTTGGGTAACAACGCCCACACCTTTAGAGTGTGTTCGTGTGGTTACCCCTGGTTTACACGAGTAGGACGCGTGCGCATAACACTCGGGTGTAGGAGTGTACAGGATTTGCAGTCACGTGATTTTGGACTGTCTGCGTTCAAGTGAAACAGATGTGCCGGAAACGCACGCGCCTGGACGGTACATGATCCGCCAATAGAAATACACTGATTTGAAAATTCACACGCCTCCACGGACATGGTACGCTTCCTGAAATGCCTTTGCCCGTCATGTTACGTCACGTGAGAGACCTCTATACTCTTCCTTTAGCAAGAGTATACTCTCGCCTTCCCGCGGGTCGTACTCCAGCCGTTCCAGCGCTCAGTACACACACTTGTGTGATAACACGAGCTCACTCGAACACACCCATTATGTCTGCTCTTATGACGTCACAGTCGTGTTTTTCCTACAAGAGGCTGCTAAAACTGTGGTTGGCCGTCGGTACAAAAATAAAAGAATAATTCACAAAGTGTGAAAAATCCCACGCAGCTATCAGAACAATAATAATCCATGAACCACTAAGTATTAAATAAAAGTATAATACGACCCTATTTAAAACAGCAAATGGCAATTTTGAACGAATTGGAGGTAAAATCGAAAACCAATCAAAAGGTGATATTTTTGCAAACTTTGGCCGCCCATACAAGTTGTAGGAAAAAAAGAAAGTTGTCTATAACGTTTAGTTGTGAATTCGCCTTGTCGAACGGGAAGTATAGGCATTTGAAATATAAAACATAGTTTTCCATCCTTTAGATTGGATCACATGGTAGCCAAATCGGTACTAAGGCAAGTCAAGGGGGGTCGTAGTAGCTCTGCAAAGCTCAGCTTCGACTCTGAACTTGAGCTCACAGTTCCAATAATGACCTAGTTGCTTCATTATTCCCGTGAGTTACACAGTCACGTAGTGAGCACCCTGCAGTGATGTGCACCAGAATGTCCACACCCAAAACCAAGCCACAGAGAATCTAGGAAGATGAGGCCCAGCTATTTGTCATAGTGGACTAATTGATACCGGGGGTGTAGCCTCGGGAGGGGGGCGGGGGAACGTGCCCCCCCCGGTGCCCCCACGACTAAATACGGATGAATGGATATTGAACAAAGCTTGCCCTAAAAAAACACGCTGGTGCCCCCCCCCCGGCCGGCGCCCCTTGTGCTCCCTATTAGTAAAATCCTATAGCTACGCCACTGATTGGTACCTCCAATCATATATGTAATGAAAGTTAGTTCAGTACAGTTTATTACTGAAATGTTTCTGTCGGTTATCATGGATATTGTGTGTCATCGCGGGACAGTCATGAATCCTGGGGCACTGGGCTCAGTGTACATGTACATGCCGCGCGAAATCGTTCATGAATACCATGGACGATGACTCATCCACTGAGTTCAATTCATGCATATGCTTAATGTACGTCTTGTACATAATTCTTTAAAGGTAAGAAGTCTGAGTTTTGTATATCGATGCCATAATATTCAGCAGTTATGGAAAAGAAGATTAGAAAAGTGTTGCACCTTTTTAGAAATATTTCCCGCTTTTTAAACAATTATTTGCCCGTTTTTTATATTCATCCACTATTTCCAAAATGCATAAAGGCTGCCAAGTCACTTATAATTCTATTTACTATGGGTCTGTGCCAATCAAGGAGCCATATGAAATGCCATGGCCTGGATATCAGGGTTGTTCCCTTTGGGGGGGTGTAAACATTGCTTCACCTTCACGTTTCTTTCCAAGTGACCCGTCAGATTCATCGTTAGATGTCTGGAGTCTATTGGCCAAGTTTATACACTTGACAACTACATGTACATTTGATTGTAACAGCTGACATGATCGGTGTATTCTGGCTGAGTAATGATCTCATTTTCCTCCAAAGTATTTATTAAAAGCAAATAAGCCGAGGGGGAAAAGCAGGCAAATAAAAGCCGCAGTCTAAATTCATGAGGGTAGGATTTGCTCATTGAACAATCGCGCCTGTTCTTGGGTAAATTATGAAACATTTCCATGGTCCTCGGTCCAGCTGTACAGATTCTATCACCCACAAATCGGAACCATCTAAGATGACCGTAGAATTGTCGCGGAGGAAATTTTGTCCGTCTATTAATGGCTGTCATAATTCGCTCAAAACCCTCCCAGACGCTGGAACCGGTTTTTCATGTCTCTTTCAGTATGTGACTTTAATTATGAGCATGTAGATTGATTTTAAAAAGATGAAATCGATGAAAGTAGAACCAGATGACAAAGACGGCTTCAGATGAGTTGGTTTAGCGAACTGCTTTATTCCGCGCGGAAGGTCGACGTCATCAGTGCGCAAGTCGGTTTACAGCGGCCGTTCCCTTCATTAGCGATTCAGCAGCCGGCGGTGCAGGACGGGTCAGAAATCACTGTGAGTGGAGTCTGTGTGGGCCAAGTCAATTACTACATTCCCCAAAAAAACTAACAAAATGCGTGAAATTGTACATCTCCAAGCCGGCCAGTGTGGCAACCAGATCGGTGCTAAGGTAAGTAAGAGAAAAATCTATTGAAATGTATCAAGGAAAAACCGGATGGTACGAAAAGTGTGAATTTGTTTGTTAATTTTTAATGCTTGTACAAGAATAGACGGAAGAATTATCTATTGGTCGATTGGTTTCTCAATTAGAATTTTTTCTCAATATTACGGAAGACGAAGTGCCTGGTCTCTGAATTTAAGAAAATTAAATGTTTATTTTCCTTCTGGAAATTGTCCTAATTGCGGCTGTGTCCACCGCACCCCGCATAATTTATCATTCATTATATACCGGTAGGCAAGCATGCTGAATGACTCATCACCATTCATCACGTTGCTCACAGAGAGTCATGTAAACTATTACTGTGATGTCTTTAAGAAGATTGATTACATCCTTTTTAATACACTGCGAGATTACATAGATCTCTAAAAGTAATCACAGAAAAATGTATACGTTCAAAAATAAATACGAACATTTTTTTCTGATTTTGTCAATTGTTCAATGGAATTACAAGTGAATATGCCGAGTGCGTAAAATTGCATTTGAATACGGTAACTTGTATAACTTAACAAAACATGGTCAAAACACCAAGCAATTTAGAGACCCCCATCTAGAACAAGAATCGCTTTGAAATTGAATATAAAAAGTAAATTCCCACAGCAAAACGTGTCTGCATGTCAGTTCAGAGTTTGACACGACTTCCGACGTGTTTGACATTACAAAATTGGCTCCTTTTGCTGGGCGTGTCTCATGTCAATGTCAGATGGTAAACCCACTCTAGTCTGCGCCTGCGCCGACCGTCTTGGTTTGCATAATGGGAAGCTACTCCCCTGCATTCATTGGTTCAAGTCTCATGAAAAAAGCAACCTTCAGTCGAGTCGTACTGAGAAGCTTTAATTGTTTCAACAGACAAAGTTGGTGAATTAGGCGTGACGTGCGATGATAATGTGACGATGGCAATGTTCAAATCTTGCTCTGAGCAACATTCAGTTTCCAAATAACAATTCTCTCAACTTCTGGTCCATTGCGGCATAAACTGTGAAGGAACTTGTGAACATAAATTACCAACATTTATATACATGTGGCTGACTTCGTCAAGTTATTGCCAAGATTTCAATGTGAGAAGATTATTGATTCGAAAAGGTTTTGAAATCTGGGTATCATTTTCGCAGGGTCTCTCCCATTGAATCTTAAAATTTTGTAAACTTAATTTTCTGAGACAATTATGTTGAATTTGTAATTTACCATTCTGGCATCCTTTGCTCTTTTTGATCCATTTTCAGCCAAAACCTCCGAAAATCTCTTAGTTAGTCATATTTAAAAGGGTGTGTCCCACAATTAGTCCTGGAGAAATCACAAATTGTGCACTTGTTTTAGCTATAATAGATAAAGAGAATAACGAAATAATAAATAAAAAGAGATGTAAGGCAAAGTTAGTTTAAAAGAATTTCAGATTAATACGTCAAGGTCATGAAAGACATGGGTATCCATTTAGGCGAAATTCCAGCTTTTAAAGTTTTATATTTACATGCTTTCCCTCTCTCTCTCTCTCTCTTTCGGATGAATTCCCACAAAGAAGCCTGTGTAAATATGTGCCATGCACAATTCAGCTCCCATAACGCATGACCAACAAACAATGTCCAAGAATTGGAAGTGTGAAAATTGTCCAGACACAGCCATAGTAATGTTTGTGAGAGAAATGTTTGGAAAGAAAGAGAATTGCTTGAATTCACTGACAAAAAAATAAAAAGGTGCCCTTTTCAAATTAAATGTGTGCTTCGGGGCCTACAATAAAAAGTACGGGTAATGTAGATTGTGTTTTACATGAGCCACGATTTTTAATTTTGTTAAACTTAAAAGCCCTCAAGCCTCCGATTTCAATATGATTTATTTTGCAAGACATGCAGTAATCCGTTAATTCAGGTCAAGACTTTAGGAGTTACAAATAATACTGATTTGAAGAACGTTTAGTCTTTTCTTAATTCCAGTGATAACATTTTTGTTACTCGTATTAATATTTTCATTTGTCATCCTTGTTCAATACCTTTACCTTTCATTGCCATATAGAATTGCAAATTATGTTGGTTAATACTGGTAGTCGAAAACGTATAGGTTGGAAATGTCTGGCGCTATACCGCTTCAGATCCATGAAAGTTTATTCCTCTGATTTCTAGTAGCCATTCTATCCCATAATTCGACAAAACCAACACTTCTTCTTGGATCTATCTCCGACACAATTATTTAACTTTTGTGGGACAACAGTAACGAAGACAACTATTGCATTAAAGTCTCCCATATGTTCGGCTAAATTATGAAATATTTTCTATCTCAACAGTTCTGGGAGGTGATCTCTGACGAGCATGGCATCGACCCAACCGGCACATACCACGGTGACTCCGACTTGCAGTTGGAAAGAATCAACGTTTACTACAATGAAGCCACCGGTGGCAAGCATGTACCCCGAGCCGTACTGGTCGACCTGGAGCCAGGCACCATGGACTCTGTCCGCTCTGGTCCGTTTGGTCAGATCTTCAGACCCGACAACTTTGTCTTCGGACAGAGTGGAGCTGGAAACAACTGGGCCAAGGGTCACTACACAGAGGGGGCTGAGCTGGTAGACTCCGTACTGGATGTTGTGCGCAAAGAGGCTGAAGGCTGTGATTGTCTGCAGGTGAGTCTGGGGCAGAAGTTACCAGAAAATGGCTTGAAGATTCCAAGAAAAAAGAAAGTATCGTTTCAATCAAGAATGAATGGTACTAATAATCAATAAATCGATTTCTTCCTCACAGGGTTTCCAATTGACACAGTCCCTTGGTGGCGGCACTGGCTCAGGCATGGGAACACTTCTCATCAGCAAGATCCGTGAGGAGTACCCAGACCGTATCATGAGCACCTTCAGTGTTGTCCCCTCTCCGAAGGTGTCAGATACCGTGGTGGAGCCTTATAACGCCACCCTGTCTGTCCACCAGCTCGTAGAAAACACAGATGAAACCTTCTGCATTGACAACGAGGCCCTGTACGACATCTGCTTCCGCACCCTGAAGTTGACCACTCCAACATACGGTGACCTCAATCACCTTGTGTCCATCACCATGAGTGGCGTTACCACCTGCCTGAGGTTCCCTGGTCAACTCAACGCCGATCTTCGCAAGCTGGCTGTCAATATGGTGCCTTTCCCTCGTCTCCACTTCTTCATGCCCGGCTTTGCTCCCCTGACCAGCAGAGGCAGCCAGCAGTACCGTGCCTTGAGCGTCCCTGAGCTGACCCAGCAGATGTTCGATGCCAAGAACATGATGGCTGCTTGTGATCCTCGTCATGGTCGTTACCTGACCGTTGCTGCCGTCTTCCGTGGCCGTATGTCCATGAAGGAAGTTGATGAGCAGATGCTGAACGTGCAGAACAAGAACAGCAGCTACTTCGTAGAATGGATCCCCAACAACGTCAAGACCGCTGTCTGCGACATCCCACCACGAGGCCTCAAGATGTCCGTTACCTTCATCGGCAACAGCACAGCCATCCAGGAGCTGTTCAAGCGCATCTCTGAGCAATTCACCGCTATGTTCAGGCGCAAGGCTTTCCTGCATTGGTACACCGGCGAGGGTATGGATGAGATGGAGTTCACTGAGGCTGAGAGCAACATGAACGACTTGGTGTCTGAGTACCAGCAGTACCAGGATGCAACGGCTGAGGAGGAAGGCGACTTTGATGAGGAAGAAGAGGCCGAAGATGCAGACGCTTAAAATTAATCGAAATATCACCAAGGAGAACTTGCATTCGATGGCATAAAATAAAGTGTTTTCAAGCTTCCATTATTTGCATAATTAAAACGAAAATTAACTTGTCCAAACTTTAACCTTTAATTTGAAATGAAAAAAAAAGCCTGAAACTTGCAGCGAGACATGGAGACCGTGCATAAGTATCCTTGTAAGGCATTTCGAGTTAATGAAATCTGCAAGGCAGTATACTAGGTTCCAAGCAGGGGAAAAGGTTTCATCGTGAATTTTGGGGTGCAGATTAAAACGAAGGCAGGCAAAAAGGTGGCATTCAGATGAAAAAATGGAATAAAGTAAATGAGAGACGAATTTTCCATACTACACAAAGGCATTTCTGATTTCATATCGTTGGCAATATCTGTATTAAAGATTGCTTTTCAGAATATTGTGTTGCCAACGTAACACTAAAAGAGTGCACACAGATAAAACGCAGTGATCCTTTCGGCAGAAAGAAATAACTCAATGGTGCAGTATAAGACGACAGCTGAAAACATCGAAGTGAATTGGAGTCATTTCATAACCTAATGTTTTTGATGAAATTTAATGATATTTTCTTCCGTTCTCTTGCAATGGTCCACATTTGGATCCACGACTACTGGAAAAAGCTTAGGGATTCTGCAATTTTGTACATCTATGTTGTTTCTTTTATTTTCTGACCAAAATGTTGTACACGTGTACGTTTTTTATTTTTAAATGTATCTGTGGCGAAAGTGTGAGGTAATAAAACTGAGAATAAGAGCAAGCTTAAAAAGTTGGTGACTTAAATAATTTTGTACCATAAATAAAAATTTGAAGGGAAGGGATGGGACGAGACGGGATGGGTTATAGGAAAGTGTCAAAAGAACGGGAAGCTGTCAAATGAATGGGAAGTTGTCAAAAGAACGGGAAGTTGTCAAAAGAACAGAAAGTTGGGGTTTAAAACAATCAGTCAGATGTTGTAGGCTGGAAAAACTATGGGTATGAATGTTGTTTTTCTGGTGATTATCGAACTAAAGCTGTTGGCTGAAGACTGAAGTCAACTGAAGCATGGAGGTATATCCCCGTGGCTGAGGCGAATAGATAGTCGACAGAGGCAACCAGTCACACGAGAAATAAACCAGGCAGAAGGACGGAGGGCACAAATACCGTGACATTGTCTGACCATGGCATGAAACCATTCATTTGTACTTCAACGAGTAAGATTCTCTTTCAATTCTTGACTATCTATTTATTTTAAAGGCCGAGTCACTTCTCCATCCTGTAGTTACACCATGTTATGCGACTAGACTGAAATAATCATGCTTGGGCGACTGGACAAGTCTAACATGTGCCGCGCCAGTGTTCACTGATCAGTTCAGTGGATGCACGGATCACTGGACCTTGGACGAATGCCACCATGAAAATTACTGAGTGGAGCGTTAGTAATAATAGTATTAAATTAGGTTATAGGCTTCGCCATCGGTTCTTCTCAAAACCACACACTCATAAAAGAGACATTTCCTTGTACAAGGTGCAACCGCAAGCCTAACCTAATTTAGTACTTCCACCATGCATAGCCTCAAGTCTTATCAATAATAGTATTTATGTTTTTCGCATTTTGGACTGGATCAGTCATACTAACGCTGCACAACATTACATAGGACCTATACTAAAATAACAGCGGTTCCCAAATATTGACTAAAAATACCTTTATCACTACTTACTGGCTTTTAAATGCCAAAGTCAAACTGTTGGGGCTTCAATGATATTTTGGACTCCAAAATGTGTCAAAATCCGACCATTTTTCGCTCGACAGACGCACAGCTAGCACTTGAAGTGTAGCTGCAATGATTTTTTTTAATTTGCACTGCATCTTTGTACTCTTCTTCATTGTATGACAACTCTTACACACTCCTATTTGGTTAAATGCACTGAATCTGAAAAGTGCATGTTTTAAACAATTAAAATTATCCATGCAACTGAGGGCGCTGTTGCTGTGACATCATCTAGGGAAGACGTGGTTCAGTGCGTAGGTGTTTCTGTTCAAATTGTGAACCCAGAATTCACCTACTGAAAACATTTCTGAGAGAGGGATTGATGTTGTCTTATTGCTATGCGAATAAACAGCAATGAATCAGCAAAGGATAGAAAACTGAGTCCAGGAAACTCTACAAAAGTGCAAGACTGTCCGTGTACAAACCAATGAGGCAAACACTGAGGCAATTCTCTGAGATGACATCACAATTTTGCTCACGAATATGGAAATACATGAATCGTCAGCATAAAAGCCAAAAGGGGTTAAAATACCTGAGGTAAACCGAGGCAGAAAGGTGCATTTTTAGGTTTGTAATCACAAAAATCTATTGCAGCCACCCTTTAAACTTTTGACACCTCCTCCCATTCAAATACGTTTGAGGGTGCCTCCAACGACTGTTTTACGCTCAACACGTCTTGTACCCAGACCACGTATAGCCCGCTCATGCATGTGCCTTGGAGGACCAATCTATATCTATATCTAGGCACGCGTAAATATTGGGAGGATGCTTCATACATGTCATAAAGTTTGCGTTGTGCTTGTGTCGAGCGAAAATGGTCGGATTTTGACAGATTTGGAGTCCGAAATATTAATGAAGCCCCAACACTTTGACTTGAGCATTCAAGGAAGCCATTAGGAGGTGATAAAGGTATTTTTAATCCAAATTTGGAATTTTTGGGAACCGTTGTCACTTTAGGCCTAGGCCTACATCAAAGTTAGCCCCACTAGCACGGACTATCACTCCCGATCCATCCTAAGGATAGATCGGGAGTGATAGTCCGTGCCACACTAGTGGGGCTACATCAAAGTAGGCCTGGACTAGTACATGTCATGTCGTGGATCGACTATGACTGATCCAGTCCAAAATTCGAAAGAGTCAGCAGAGCTAACATGACCTTATAGTTTTAGTGGTAGGGGGCCTACGTCCTTGGTCAGTTTGGTCACTCAGCAAAGAATAATTTAAAGAAGTATTAGTTTTACCTTTCGGCCTTCATGACCTCCAGTACTGTGTCATTTCTTTGTACTGTGTGCTTACTTCATTCAATGAACAAATACAAAGGGGTATTAATAATACAGTATATGTTGAAAGCAAGGGTGACCTTGGATCAAAAGTCCCATGCAAATGACACAAATGAAAGATTTTCCAACTTCAAAAATTAATGTAACACTCGAAAACATACAAGTCATTCCACATCAAGCACATACATAACTTTCACTTTTATACAGTTCCCGCAGTTGCGATTTAAAAAACATGTCGTGATGGAAGTGAAAAGATTGTCCCAAATTGGCTTAGGCTACTACGCAAAATTCGAGTTTTAAATTTGCTGCTCTAAAGTGGTCAAATGAGGTTCCATCTTCCAACAGGGTGGGCATCGGATTGCCATTATCAATTTTGATGATCTTGAGCTTGAATTAAAGTGAAAGAATTGTTCTAAAGGCGTAGACCAGGTACTAAATGCCTTATGAATATTAATTAGGTCTGAAAACAAAAGGAAATCTTAAGAGAAACACTTGGAAGTCTTTTGTGGTACACCTTCCCCCAATACATCAAATGAAAGCTGCTTTCAAGCTCTATCTGATCATGTAGTGTACTTACCTTGAAAACGAGGCCCTTCTGCAACACAGCGATTTAAATACCTGTCTGTCTGGTTGTTGCTTCACTCGCACATGTCACTGGTATTTGTTGTCCACATTTTTATTGTCTTTGTTGTTGTGCCCATGTTTTTGTGGAATCAGGTAAATCTTTATTTGTTTTATTTCAGCTTGAACTTTTTTTAGTAATAATTTTGGAGAAAATGAAATTATTGGAGATAATGCAAGACGTGGTGCTGTATTATCATTATCCCTGCACATTGGGCTCACAACTGAACATTCCTGAAACCATCTCAGCTCCCTGGGGAGTATACTTGCTGATGCTGCCCTATCAGGCCCACAAAGCTAATGACCAAGTCTACCCTCACTCGGTACCAATTTACTCCTGGGTGGAGAGAGGCACATAGGAGTAAAGTGACTAGACCAAGATCACAACAAGCTGCCACCAGCTGGGTCCGAACCCCGACCCTACGATCAGATGCTACAAACCCTATGACCACTAGGCCACATGCCCCGAATAGTCTTGGCTCGCTTTGGGAAAAATAGTGGAAAGTGAAAGGAAAAAAAAGAAAAGAGATGAAAGACAAATGAAAATCACTAATTTGGTTGGGAAAATAGCTTAAAGTTGACCACTCCCACATTAAATAGTTTATCAGTTAGTAGCTGATGGGTGCTTCCTGGAAATTCCTTCTTGAAAAAAGTGGTTTGCCGCCTCCCCGAAAATAATCCTGTTGACGCTTGTTGTACCACATGTAGAGCAGAATACCTGTACCTACGTCAAGCGATGACCAATCTTTGATGCATAGCTTGAGCTTAGCGTAAGGCCAAGACTTGACTAGATTAATCTGGTTATTTTTCAAGTTTTTTCCCTTTATCCATGAGTAGACGTTATTAAAACCAGATTGCAATAAATAAAAAATTCCACTTCTTTGATCAGTAAAAAAAAATGATAGTTCTTAACTTCTTATTTTTCAAGCTGACTTCAATGATGACGGAGGCAGAGCTTGCTAACCGTCATGCCAGGGAGGACCTCGCGGCATGCTACCGTGGCATGGACTATTACGGGCTTGGAGAGGGAATATGCAACCACCTGTCACTGCGAGCTCCTGCGCGCAGTGGCAAGGGAGAGGTTATGTTACTGGTGCCTTATGGGATACACTGGAGTCAGGTGGGTCAGTATGATTGCGAGAATAGAATAATTCGCAACCTTTGGCAAGTATTGCTAGGCAGAAACAGACTAGCTATTGGCCAAAATGTCCTGAGTTTGTTTGTTTCATTGTTTATTGGGTTGGTTGGTTTGTTTGTTTTCTAGCAAAAGTGATTCATAGGAGACATTTTTCTTAGCTTGTAAAGGTCGCTGTGCTCACATATTTGTACAGCGGTACTGTGAAAAGTTGGCACAGGGGATGTCGAGTCCTGTCTCTATCTTGAGCATATTATAGCCTAAAGTCGTTTCTGATGGTTTGTTAGCTATCGTCATGCCATTAACAACCCAAATTTATAACAGTGATTTGCATTATGATAGTTGACGTTTTTAAGTCCATTGTGATTGATTTTTGGAAAGAAAAATTGGTCTTTGTGTCAGACTTTGAGGAAAGAGGGTAATTTGTTGAAACTACATACGTGACTCACATACTTGACTGTTCATCCAGTGATGTTCGTATATACTTTCACATTTTACGATACAGATGACAGCAAGTTCTCTGATAGGTATTGATATGGAGACCCAGGAAGTCGTTGAGGGTAAAGGGAACGGCGAAGAAAACGCTGTATCTGCTCACCTATCAATATACAAGGCCATGAAGGACGTCAGGTGTGTCATGCATATCCACCCACCTTACGCTACTGCGCTGAGTGAGTTTCCCAGAGCCCAAAATCGTCTCAACAAATTCAATCATTCAACGTAGCTCTCAACAAGTTTAAGACAAAACGAGCATGTGTATATGGTGCCGTTTCCGTGTCTTAAAGATTTGTTTATGTTGTTAGTAATTGTGTCCATGGGGGGCATTGTGCTGAGATGTTCTCTGTAATTTTTCAAAGTTTGATCAGTGCAGCATTAGGTTTGATTTTCCTCTTTTTCTGCATGTTTGTATTTCTATTCAGGTTGTTTAAAGGAACCCTGGCTCAAAATGATTCACCAAACCTGCATGCGATTCTATGGCAAAGTCGGCTATGACTTGCAGTTTGGGGGCACTGTGGCCATGGGCAACGAAAGTACCAGGCTGGCTGACAAAATGGCGGGACGCCAGATCTTGGTCATGGGCAACCACGGAATTATGGGAATCGGCAAGTCAGCAGGTGAAGTCTTTGATAATCTCTACTACTTTGAGAGAGCTGCCATGATCCAGGTAATCCAGACCAAAGTATTTCGTACTCAGTCTTATTTCTGTAGAGGCATCTAAGGCAAGAAGCTGAGCACATCTCCAGACGTCAATTTAAAAAAAAAATTACAAGCAACAAAGCTGTTTGCTGCTACTCCTCATTTCTGTTATGCACACCGTCTTAGTTATCACTGCATTACCCTGAGAGGTCCTTCCTCCATATTGGTAAAAATTTTCCCTAAGTTGCCATTCTTTTCTCAGAAGAAAATTGTAAGGGCAAAAAGATTTATAATTAACTCGGCGAGCAAATTGGATTTTGTTGAACTGGTAGGTAAGGACAATCTGGCCTTGCTGCCAAGCTGTTGACTTCCCTTCATTCTCACTACTTCATGACAAACAGATGCTAGCAGATGCAACGGGTAAGGAACTCGCCGTGGCTAGCAACGAGGTTGCCCAGGGAGTAGCAGAGTATACTGACAATTATGGAGACTCCTTCAAAATTGACCATCTAGAAGCCCTCAAAAAAGTTCTGGAAAGGAAGGAGCCTAATTTTCGTCTATAGATGGGTAAACTCTGAAGGAAACTAAACAGACATTAACTCAGGGGTGAAAGTTCTCAGCTTTTTAGCTGATTTCAGCTTTTTTTGTTTTGGATTTCAGCTTTTTTCCTCACTGGCTGTTTTTCAAAGTATGTGAGACGTTCACAGTTCAGCTTCTTTATGCGTTTTTACAGCTGTTTTCATCTATTTTATCATTGGTCAATCTCACACCTGTAATATCTATACTTCTCTAGAGGACATAGTATTGGACAGAAAGTGCTTGTTGAATCATATTATGACTTTAATTCACTGATATTCTGGCAAATTAAGGCCACAACCATGTTACATGTAATGATACGGCCTCGATGAATATTTATATTTGTATTGATTTGTTCTTAATAAAATGTGGAGGCCAGAAACTACTTGTGCATGATTCTAACCCTTACATTCTGTCATATTGTTTACCCTCCATAATTATGGTTCCAGCATTGTCAGAAATATTCATTACAAGGCACAATCACTCGTTTATATCAAACCAAATTGACAGAGTAACATTTGCTTTGTTACTGTTTAGCCTTCAACGATTGGAGGGGGCGTGTCCGATACAGAGATCTTTGGCTACACCCATGTTCTCTCGTTTGTTCACATGGCAGACAGATGCTTGCAAATGCCACAGGCAAGAAGTATGCCGAGGCTACCAAGGAAGTTACCCGAGGAGTAGCCGAGTACTTCAATAGTTTTGGGGACTCCTACAAAATTGATCATCTGGAAGCCATCAAGAAAGTTCTGGCAAAGGAGGAGCCTGATTTCATTCACAGACAGTCGTATCAGGACCAAACTAAACAGACATGATTTCAATTCTTTAGAGTATTCATTGGTGTTAATAAACTTTTAAAGCACCTGTCGAATCACTTCATTTGCCTTTTTATTTTTTTGATACAGACATTAACCAACAACTGATGTTGACGGTTAGAATCCAACCGTAGGTAACATTAATGTTAGGATTGATTTGTTAATGTGAAAATTGTGAGTGCGCAACTGTAGTCATTATTGATAGTAAGCAAGTGAGCCTCTTAGGCCAAAATTATCAAAATTAGGGAACCAGTAATTTAACAAAGACTGTGATGATGTCAGTTGATGAGGGGTGTTAACTCTCATAAATAATAAAGTAAAATTGAGCAGACCCCCCCCCATTTAGTTTTTTTTAATTTCTCACTAGGCCAGTTTTTCACCTGTTTATCTGTGTCACTGGCCTCCCTGGAAGTGCCATTTAAGGACACACTGCTTGAGGCATGCACGAGGATTATCCCCACGGCTTGTTCAGTCGTTCTCTTGTCGCAAACTATAGAGGGTCTGCTCATTTGACGTCACAGTCGTGCTACAAGCTAGTGGCTGCTAAAACTATGGCTGGCCGTCGGTACAAAAGTAAAATAATAATTCGCAAAGTGTGAAAAATCTTACCAAGCTATCTGACCAACAGGTAGTAATATTCGCACTACCAAATATTAAATGAGAATACAATTCAATTGACAAAACGTCTATTCTGAACGGAATTGGGGTAAATTGAAAACCAGTCAAAAGGTGATATTTCTGCAAACTTTGGCCGCCCATAGTGTAGCCAGCATAAGATCTGAGAGTGATCAATATTGTCTATTATGATGTCATCCGTCTGTGCATAATTATCGACGAACCAGGCCGCTACTTGAGTGGCACGTACATAGCAACGTGTATACCAGTGTTGCTAGGGATGACATTGTTTTGACTACACTGTCAGAGCCTGCCATCGGTCCCTACGCATTCTGCTTGCAATGCATATTGTACACACTGAGTGGGATTCAACCTTCCTCAGCCTAACCTCCTAGTTCTAGGAGCTGTCTTGCGGTGAAACTGAAAGGCTCTTTTTTTGTCTTGGAGGATTTTATGACTATAATTTTGGATCTAAAGGAGGAACATTGATAGTTCTAGAGGCTTCATCAACATGTCATGCAATTTATGAAATGAAATAAAATAGCTATAATTATATGTATAGGCCTACGATGGTTTCGACTTCTTTGAAAGTATTATTATAACCGTTATATACATTCATTGGAAGTTCGAGGATGGGGGGAAACGGGAAGCACATCCCCGACGAAACTTGAATTTTTACTAAAATACACATAAACAGATATAGAAACTGTTGGAGGACACTATTTCCAAAATTTTAAAAGCCTATTGAAAACCCTAAAATTTATCCTCATCATTAGAAAGGTCATAAAAAGTTATACATAAAGGAATTCTATATATTAACTCCCTCCCCCACCCTTCCAAAAAAATCCCCCACCCCGAAAATTTGGTTCAAGATCCTCTCTGAAATTGAAATCAAAGATCAACTTATCAAGATCATGGATGATGATCTTGATAAGTTGATTGATCACAAGCAGTCGTGGTCTTTGATTTCAATTTATTTCAGAAAACAAACTGTGCTTCTTTAATAATGTAACATTATAAAGCAAAAAGGAAGGAACATGATTTTTTTTTCGTGACTGATATATTTGAGTTTCTGCATAAAGAATCCATCTGTGAGGCTACCCCACACCTGGAGGATTTGGGCCGGGGCCATGTCGTCTTGTACTTTGTGCGTAGGGGGTGACAATTGACTTGAGACGAAATAGTGTGGGTATTACAGGGCACAGAATGCCGGTTAAACTTGTCTCAGGCTGGAAAGTGCATCATTTCTGCAATTATAACATTATTGCGTAGGATTCTACCAGTGGCCTTCAGATTTATGCTGATCGCCATTTATACATTTTAAGATGTACATGTATAAACAAGTCAGTGTACTGTATTTTACGCTGCTCGCATATCGTCATCTTGTTTCTCGCTTTCGCAGCTAGGTTAGAGTTCGATAGTTCAGCAATCATTTTAAATGCGCTACACGTTGCTGACCCGTTAACAAAACGCTAAGGTGACAGCACAATAGCCAATCAACAGCCGTTGCTGCGGTGACGCAGTGTTTGCATTTCACAATAACGAGCCTGATCACCGCCAGGAATGTACGGTGGTTCACGGCGGTTACATAGGAAGTACCCTGCGCGTTGTTTAGCAACCATTGAGCAGTCGGTTGACATGGCGGATAACTAAATATTTTAATACATACTTTTTAAGTTCAAATTTGAATAAGTCCTTCATACAAGACATTTAGGCCAACAACCTTTTTGATTTATTTACTTTGGAAATATCCTACCTCGTAAACGCTTCGATCTTACAAAATTTCCTGAGTGTCCCAATTAATATAGTTCCAGTTGCCCTGTTTTGTCTCAACGCGGACGAACACCACGCGGTTTGCTATAAATCGACCTCCTTAACGACCGGCTGCACATTTCAATTCTGTAACAGGACTGAGAGTGGGCCTGAAACCGTAGCAAAATTTGTTTTTAAATTCCCAGTACAAACCAAACTACCAGACAACATGCGTGAGATTGTCCACCTCCAAGCCGGCCAGTGTGGCAACCAGATTGGTGCAAAGGTGAGTACAGCATTATTGCCTGCTTTCAGACAGCGGCAGACACCGTAACATTGAGACATGTCGTGACTGAAAAAAAAAGAAGCGGGAAAAGAAATGGTCAGTCGTGTGGTCAACCACGTAAGCGGTGGTTTTGAGTTTGTTTTTACATCATCTTTCGGTTTCATCATTCTGATTTAGACATTGATTTGACTTCTATTAAGGCCTAATTCGTTCTGTGCGTTTGATGTGATCAGGGCAGGCCCGTAATCGGTAATAAAGGGGAACCTAACCACTCATGACTGTCAGTGTCACCGTGATGAACAGGTGGACTCGATTAAACTTGATGTCCCAAACGTTAACCATGCTAAACTCGGGCACCCAATTTAGTCATGGGATGTCAGGCTTAATGTACACGTTGGTGCTTGATAGTCACTTAGCTTGGCACCTACCAGCATCAAAACTTTTGAGCCATGTAATCATTGTTTAGGACGAGACTTTCACATTATTTAGCCTTATTTCATCATTGTTAAGGACAAGACTTTCACATAATTTTGCCTAAGTAAGTTATTGTCATGATCATGATTGTTGATAGGCCTACGTGTATTTTCTTCAAACAGTTCTGGGAAGTCATTTCTGATGAGCATGGCATCGACCCAACTGGCACATACCATGGTGACTCCGACTTGCAGTTGGAGAGAATCAATGTTTACTACAATGAAGCCACCGGAGGCAAATATGTACCCCGAGCTGTACTGGTCGACCTGGAGCCAGGCACCATGGACTCTGTCCGCTCTGGTCCATTCGGTCAGATCTTCAGACCCGACAACTTTGTCTTCGGACAGAGTGGAGCTGGAAACAACTGGGCCAAGGGTCACTACACCGAGGGGGCTGAGCTGGTAGACTCTGTACTGGACATGGTCCGTAAAGAAGCAGAGAGCTGTGATTGCCTCCAGGTAAGAATTGTGTATTTTGAGGTTTCTATATCATAAAATGACCAAATTTTAAGTACCAGTTCATTAATTTACATCTGAGGGACAGAACAGGAAGGACAAATATATGGTGAGTCCAACTGAGCAACGGAACTTAATAGCTGAATTCTTATTTATTGATTTGCAGGGATTCCAACTGACACATTCCCTTGGTGGTGGCACTGGCTCAGGCATGGGAACACTTCTCATCAGCAAGATCCGTGAGGAGTACCCAGACCGCATCATGACCACTTTCAGCGTCGTCCCATCTCCCAAAGTCTCGGACACTGTCGTTGAGCCATACAACGCCACCCTCTCTGTCCACCAGCTTGTAGAAAACACAGATGAAACCTTCTGCATTGACAATGAAGCCCTGTATGACATCTGCTTCCGCACCCTGAAGTTGACCACCCCAACCTACGGTGATCTCAACCACCTTGTGTCTGCTACCATGAGTGGTGTTACCACCTGCCTGAGGTTCCCTGGTCAACTCAATGCCGACCTTCGTAAGCTGGCTGTCAACATGGTGCCCTTCCCCCGTCTCCACTTTTTCATGCCCGGCTTTGCTCCCCTGACCAGCAGAGGCAGCCAGCAGTACCGTGCCCTGACCGTTCCCGAGCTGACCCAGCAGATGTTCGATGCCAAGAACATGATGGCTGCATGTGACCCTCGTCATGGCCGCTACCTGACCGTTGCAGCTATGTTCCGTGGCCGTATGTCCATGAAGGAGGTTGATGAGCAGATGCTGAACGTGCAGAACAAGAACAGCAGCTACTTCGTAGAATGGATCCCCAACAACGTCAAGACCGCTGTCTGCGACATCCCACCACGAGGCCTCAAGATGTCTGTCACCTTCATCGGCAACAGCACCGCCATCCAGGAGCTGTTCAAGCGCATCTCTGAGCAGTTCACCGCTATGTTCAGGCGCAAGGCTTTCCTGCATTGGTACACCGGCGAGGGTATGGATGAGATGGAGTTCACTGAGGCTGAGAGCAACATGAACGACTTGGTGTCTGAGTACCAGCAGTACCAGGATGCAACGGCTGAGGAGGAAGGCGAGTTTGATGAGGAAGAGGAGGGAGAAGAGGATAATTAAACTCATCCGGAGAAACTCGACAGTATTCAACAGAACTCAAGGGACACTAACTTTACATGACATCCAAAAATGGATGTCTTTCAGATTGGCCGTAAACCTTTTGGAAACTCTGTAAAAGAAAAAGAAACTGATCATAGGAAATAAAAGAAATTGATGGAAGTTGATATTCACCTATTTTTCTACACATATTCCTACAGAGTAAGCAGCTATTTTGGGCAGTAACTTGTCGCAGCTTCACAAACCACTATGATATGTTGAAAGAATTGTTACTTTCTGAATTTCTAAAATCATGTCAGAAAGCCCTAACTTTTATACCAAAGCTTGAAATAAAACAGTTTGAAATGGAATAGATTTGTCAACCGTTTGTCCCTGATTACTGGAATCCCTGTCGTCCCATCTTCATTGACAAGACATCGAGACATGAATGCTGAACGTGGTGCTTTGTAATGTTAATTGGGTTTTGGAATTTTTTTTTTACCTGACTTAGTTCCTTCCACCCAACCTTTTGGATGAATGCAACTCTAGTAAGTCCCGTGAAGGTGGACAGCTGAATTTCAATTTTGTTTCCACTACACCGTATTTAGATGGTTAGCGAATTCATAGACGTTAAAGAAATAAATGTATGGACACTGCTATTGAGTCAAACCTAGTTAATAAAGTTGGAGACCAGACCAATTACACATGTACATTACTTTGCTAATTGCTGTAACCAGAAAAAAAAGGAGTAGAAAACGCAAGAATTTATTTTGAAAAATTTGGAGTCTCAGAATAATTTTATAACGGAATTTTGTTTTAACCATAGTTACAAGTGTTCTTTATATCGAGATCATGTTCTGTACAGTTTCATAACGCACAAATCAAACACGAGAAAGATTTTCTTATCCGCACATTGCTTGACACCTTGAGCATGAAACTGGTCTGAATTGTTTTCTAAGTAAATCCTTTTAAAAGAATTCCATAATTATACGGACACTAGGAATATTGCTCTGTAGTACGGGCATGTACAGTACATTGTATGCTGTACAAGCAAGTGGATCAGATTTCTCAACCCGCTGAGTGAGGGCGCTTGCACACGGTCAGCTAGCCATCACGGACGTACATACGAAAAGAATGCAAGCAAACTGACAGCCATATGCAAGAGGGCGCTTTCCTCGCCGAATGGACCCACTGGGAGAAAAGTTTTTCCAACCTTTGGAGGCAGTGAAGGCCGTATATAATCCATGAGTTTAAAGTACCTGTGTTAAAGGAAAAATTCAAGTCGTTTATAAAACACAACGTCACAAGCGTTCCCGAGGAACTAGACATGCATGCCTCTTACTGTGAATTTGAGGTGCCCCAGAACCTGTTTCTAATGCATGTAGTGCAGTAGATCTGAAACGATTGTCTGAACTGTAACCAGCTGGGTCTGTTTGTGCTGCGATTACTATGTGACAAACTTGGCCGCTTGGAGTGAACATTATATTTGCCATAGTGA